GCATTCACGTAAAAATAACACCTGGAGAATTACTGAGAATCAAACATTCAGGGGCTATCGAGTGGTCTCCTCTTCACTATCCGATGACGATGTCACAGTCGTTGTGTGCTCGGTGCTCTTCTTCGCTGCCTTTTTCATAGCTGTATTTACTCAATATCGAGCTGAAGCCTCAGTATGTCGGGTAATATTTCGATGTTGGACGACGAATAGAAACTGGACCATTCGGCATTACGATATAAGGTTCGTTGCGCTTGTATATAGTGATCTCCATTGTAATCTGTGAGTTTTCTCGTTCTAGAGACGACCCCGAGATGTTAGCACATCGACAAGCACGAGGTGTACTAGTGGTGGATCCACCTGTTGTAAAGATAGCACGACCAGATGGATCTGCTAAAGTCGAAAATCGCCTCACAGTTGCTAGCCGACAACTGCCAATAACTGTCATGGAAACGCGATGAGGGGGCCAAAATTTCACTTCGCAACTTCCCTCAAAAGGAACCAGGTCCAGAGTCAAGCCAGAACTTGCCACTGACGCATATCTTGCACACGAATTCTTTCACAACAAAGTTCTGCAGTGCATTTCCATTATTGTATAGTTTGTCACACAAAATCGACATTTTCGACAACGGGTCCCAAACTGATTGCATGCGCCGCTTCAGAGCTATCAGTTATACACTTTCGAGTGCCACATAGAGTATTCGAGCTAGTCTTTCTCAATCTTGCATTCTTCGTTACATATATGCCTCGCCCTACTCTCAGGAATTAGAGTAAAACTCAACAAATTGCCGTCAGCTATCTGCTTTCTTTGCAGTGCCTTTTCATCATCTACTTCTCTTGCCATTTCGTATTTGTAATCATTTTATGACAATAAACATAGATGATCTGCGAAAAAGAAAATGTATATTACAAAGTGCATTAACGATACAAACTTCACATATAACAATGGTAACACCAGTCAACTGTGCTCCAGAAAAGATAATACTACTACAGAGGTGCTCTCAACTCGTAAACTAATTTGAAATTGATACTGATTGGGACTGAAGGTAGGAACTGGCGGACTTTGGCTTCAATTGCAGTTAAACAGGGGATTGGGAGAAGTTATTATTACAAAAAAACAAACTGTGACAGCCAATCACTCGTACCTTTGGAACAAATAGAGATACGCAAGTTGACGAGGCGGATTTTGTGATATTGCCACTTTTTCGTCGTTGAAGAGTATCTGAAAAACATGCACTGAATCCTATCATCTATTCTATGACTAGGAGACGCGAGACCGCAT